CCAGGTCTGGCAGGTGCACAGCAGGTCACAGCCAGGCAGCAGCCCCCACTGCCAGACTGCTGCAGTGGGTAGAGGGTGCAGGGAACTCTCAGGGCTGCTTCAGCAGTCCAGCTGGCACAAGGGGTAGTGTCCCCAGGTACCAATTAGCTGGGCCCCAGAAGCTCCTCAGAGCTGGTAGCCCTGAGCTACTTGCCAGGGCAGCTTTTTGTACTGCTGGGGCCAGGACAGGGCAGCTTTTTATACTGCTGGGAACAGCACAGGTGCTGGCCCCAGGCTGTACCTCCCCCTGGCTGAAGATCTGGGAGGAGTCAGGCAGCTTTATTTTTTCCCCAAGTGGCACAATTTACTCCACAACAAAGTGCACGTCCAAGCATCTGCACTGAAGCAAAAAGCCCGGGGTCAAATTTGCACCGCTTCTATTTGAGCTGCTGCAAGCGCACATGCTTGCATGCGTGGACGTGCCCTACAGGGCTGCAAAACCAGTAATCTGAGACCCAGCCCCCTCAGTGCACAGAAAGGGAATGTGGAGTTCCCCATAATTTGTTCATTAAGGAGTCCTCCACATGCAGCTTTAAATAGAAACAATTTAGATTTAGCACGTCTGTAGCCCAGGTAAGAAACGCTTTGTTTAAACCTATGCTTTCTTAGCTTGACAGTCAATTTCCCCCACATCATTTTTCAAAATGAAACAGAGTAAAGCAAGCCTGAAAATAAATTGGCTTCTTCATCTGGGACATTTGCAAACTCCTTTGTTTCACTTTTTAACTGTGCCAGGTTATGATAAAAGACCTGTTGTGCTCTCTTTGGCAGAACTGTGCAACTATGGCAATATTAACTTGTTCTTCTCTTTGTGCAGCAAATTTGGATACAAGAAACAAAAACATGGTAGTTATTTGTTATTTTTCAAGTACTTTTGTGGGAATCCAGCTTCCTATACCCAAATGGAAGGTAATTACTGCAGTGTTATCTGTTCTATGCTAACGTGCCAGGTCTTTGTTTCACTTCTTGACCGTTGAGAGAGAGATGTGGGATCTTTAGCTGCTGTAAACCTTCCTCCCGCACCCCATTGAAATTCCAAGTGTTATGGATTCTTATGCTCTTTTAAGTTAAGGACCTCAATGATTTTACAGTTGCTAAGAGTCATCATGGTTAATATCATTAATACATTTTTCAGCTAAACTAATTTTAGCTCAATGGAAAATTTGCAATGCCAGTGACCCTCTTAAGTGACTTATTTTTATAGTCTTGGTGAAGTGTTTCATGTAAACTTTTTGGTCCTGTTTTCTCATTTTTACTCAACCAATTACTAATGACATACCCATTAATCATGAATTGAATTAGATAATTAAGGGAAGGAGAAATGAAGGAATAATAGTTGAAACAGGTGTTTAGTTACAAAGAGGAGAGAATTTAGCAATGTAGATACATCCATCTTCCCAACTCCTCAAACCATACCCTTTTTTATTCTACTAAAGTGCAAAGGAGCAAAGCATATCAAAAAAGATGTGCATCCTTCCCAAACCTGCCAAATATAATGCCCAGTTGTTTAACCATTATTTATTTAGTTAGTTCGAAATGAATAGGAGCCCCAAGGTGAATAAGGGCTGCAAACTGGACCTGTACTTAGCTTATATTTTTATATTCAGAGTAGTACTAAACAGGGTTCCCCTGTTAGTTCTCATAAAAATATGTAATAAATAATAACCTAATTGTAGAGATATAGGAAAGAGTTCCCATTTGTTTCAATGAAAGAAAGTTCAGGGTCTTGAAAGAGTCTTCAGTAAAGAAGTGTGAAATGTAAATATACAAAGTATTAGGTTATCCAAGAGTAACAACCACCACCCACTTACCTTGAACTTTTTTGAAAACCCTGGAACTCATAAACTTTAAAAATCTGTCGGCATAAAAACTTGGTCTGTGAACTGAAACAGTGTCCTAGAAGACAGAAAGGGCTTTAAATTTACATTCTTCATACAGAAATCAAAGTAAAATGAACAAGAGAAAAACTGGACATCATATTTTTCTTAATTTTTTCATGCCTTATTTGGTGACTCATGGATGAAGATATTAAGATTTTGATTTCTCATGCCAACTAGAAATTACTGTACAATTAACATCCATTATAATTAGTAACTGTACAACCTTTTTGTAATCCATGCATCACCATAAGCATTTAATATAATTCAATACAATAAAATTCAACTCTGGATGTTTGATCAGCTAATATACTGTGTGGCAAAATTTTGCCTTGCATTACCATTCTATATAGCTGCACTGATGTTGATTCAGGAGGCAATCTAACTGGCTAATGTAGTTTTCAATTAACTCTTGATTTAACTGATGAATTAAGATTAGGGATAAAAACAACATCCTTTTTTTCTAGTTGTGTTGTACTGTATTATATTTTTGGCCTAGTACATAATTTGTCCAAAACCTGGTGAAGGAATCCAAGGGCTTCCTACAGATGTTAAAAAACAGAACAAAGCGGCACCTCTTAACTTGGTGCACTCCCATGCTGAGCCCAGCACGTGCCCAGAAGAACCATCACATTAGTTGGACCTGGCTTGCCCAATGTCTGTATAGATCAGGCACTTTTATCTAATAGCTGATTGAATCAGCTTTTAGCCAAAAGCTCCGAAAAGCCCCTGAAGCACCAATCTATACAGATGCTGCAGAGCGGGTCAAACATGCTGCTTTTTCCAGTAAATCATGGTCTGTTTTTAAATGTCTGTAAGCAGCCCTATTATTCAACACAGTTACAAGGAGGATTTAAATTTATTTATTTATTTATTGGTTAGATAGGCAATAGGATGACAACTTGTCAGAAATTACAAAACTAAACTTACCAAGGAAAACATAACAGGAAAAAGCACATTCAGTAGCCTGGCTGTCTTGGTGATAGACAGATTATAAATGTAAGAGCTTGTATTTCTTCAGACAACAGTTATCAAAACTTTATCATAAAAAAAAGTGCCAATTAAAAAGAGATGCTTACCCCATCATAGACCAGCGCTTTCCAGGAATGTTCCAGCTTCTTCATTAACCTAACCACATATAAATAAAATTAAAAAGTTTGTTATGAAATGTTCTCATTTTACAGCAATCTCAGAAAAATTTATTAACATGATATTTTAAAGTGTACCAAAACAGATGCGTTCCAAACTGCCACTTACCTATAAGACTGCAGAATATCAATAATACCCATAAACAGAAGCAGCTTTTCTCCTTTATGACTCTTAGCTGGAATGCCTCCCATTCTGATGGCAAAAACAAAATAAAGATATGAGATATTTTATAACAAAGATCTTTCTAAGGATGCCATAAAAGGTGATACTAAACATGAACTGCATCTTCTTAGACAAAAAGGAATTACTAGTAAATTCATTAAGGTGGAGTGCTGAATGCCCTAGTTGAGGGTAGGACATTCAGCCTCACTGATTGGAAACATGATCTTTCTTTTCAGCTCAGGTCCACAGGCTGCTGCTTGTTAAGGCAACCCAACATGTCACAGTTTCTACCCAAGGCAATACTTCCTTACACTTTTATATCATGTCCCATTTGAATACTGCACTACATTATACAAGCCTCTCTTTATTCATTCTGAAGTAAGTAAATATTGTTGCCCCGATTCACAGATTGGGAGGTTAACATGATTTGCCTGAAGTCTCCTAGAAGCACTAATGACAAACCCCAGAATAGAAGACTGGTCCCCTGAGTTCTACTCCTTTATTCTAACAACTAGTATTGCTCCCTCTTCCACAGAAATGCATTGAAAGGCAAGTTTAAACCAAATTTTATTTGTGGTATCCTACTTTACAGACCTGTAAACAAACAAAAAAAAAAGGTCTACATCCTTTTTGGTTATAATTTGTAAAAGATTATGAAGAGCTTCTTTCCTAATTTAGCACCCCTAAAATGAGGTACTTGAATTTTGCATTCTCAGAAAAATCAGATCCTAGATTTTTTTTTTAAATGTTAGACTTAATGGACAACTAGAGAATTGTTAATATTATGAAATCATAAATATCAGACTGGTGAAGCCTGATGGAGCAGGGGAGAGATTTTTTTCAGGAAAAGATCAGTCTCTTTGACCTGAGTTTCGAAAGTGATTTGTGATTTAAGGTGTCAAATCAAAAATCCTTTAAAAGGTAGCCTAATTGATTTAAGCATTACAAATTGTTAATGTGGTCTGAAAGTCTTGGCTCCAATTTTTAGTTTATTTTTATTAACTTCTGTTAAATTCAATATACCCTCTAAACTGTCAGTGAAAAAATACCATCAAAGATGCAACATCTCATTTTCTAATGAAGCCCAAGAAAAGTAATATACTCCTGAAACATCCAACAAGAATAAAGTTGACAGTATTTAATATTTCAGATATTTCTAAGATTCAAAATGAAATACCAAAATGATAAATAGTTTGAAAGCCAAAACACAAAACAACTGCTCAGGCTTTCCTACTGTATCACAACAATGCAAGATAGAGTGTACTTGAAAAGTGACCTGCAAATGAGAAAGCAAGTACAATAACTTGCAATTTCATAATTCTGTTCTTATTGAAAAAAAATTAATTCTATTAAACACTGTGTCCTTGGATGTCAACCTGACACCAAGAAGCAACCACACTCCATTCAATGGGTGGCAGCTCCTCAACAACATAGAGCAATACTACACAATAGTTTTGTTGGAATGCAAGGGAAGAAAGCAATGAGAGCAGGTGGGATTCAGGGAGGCACAACTACTTAAAGCACTGTAAAATCCAAGTAGACTAACTAGCAAAAGTATCTTATAAGCATTTGGGTGACCTAGCAGCTTACATTAGACTGACTTTCATAGGACATTAAAAATAAGTGACTCGGGAACCTAACAACCGTATTTCTGCATGTAATATCACAGGATTTTTGAAGACAAAGTGTTGGTTTTGAGAGTTACCTGAGCACAATATTTCCAACATCAGTCCAGTTATGAGTCATATACTTATTTTATGCAAATAAGAGTAATTTTGTACTGATAGGGCAAAATACAGCTCTTTGTCTAAACCTATATTCTAATACTTTAAACACAAAACTATGCAAATACGAAGTAGTATTATTCTCCCATTAATTTGCTGTAGGTTTAAGCATGTAACACTAATGGTATTTACCCAGATAACTCCCTGGTGAACCCAGAAAAGTAAAATCTTTTCCAAGTGAAATTAAGTCTCTGTTATTAAAACAAGGATTGATTATACAGAATAGGAATGCTGATTGCAACTCTCATTAGCACTGAACATGAATCGGGGAAGAGAATATTCTGTGGAGACATACTTGAAATGAAGACAAATGGGGCACTTCACCCTTTTCAATTACATCCTTAAAATTCTCAACAGCTTAGGACATGCTATTGCATATAGAGGCAGTAGAAGTGCTGTCTTCCGAGCATAATATAAATAAAAGGTTTTAATCACTGTGGTTATTAAAGATCCCATGGCACCATTTATAAGCGTAAGAGTCTTAACACCAAAGTCTTGGCTGAATTCCAGCCTGGCTAACTACAGCCTGACTACCTACATTTCCATTGCAGTTTCAATTAGGGAGAGAAAAAAGCCAACATGTTTTCAGCTGTGCTATAGTGCTCATTTGAGAAGTTGAAATATCAGTCTTGTTCCTCCTGAAAGGTGGCTGCACCTCAGCATTTGGTGAAACAATTTCTGTGTATTCAGTGAGAAAATTTATTTGGGATGACAAACTCTAATAATTTAATTAGTAATTAACAGGTTTAGTTTATGAGGCTGTTTCAAGTTACAGTGAAATGACATGTGGGGCTTTTCTAATGGCAGTTTCAGAACACATCTTTTATAAGAGAATTAACTTATGTGCAGATAAATTGATTTGAATCATAACCACAATTCCTATAATGTATTTAAGACAATGAAGACATTGGCGTTTTTATTTTTGGATCTCTAGTGAACCTCAGTGATATAAGCTTTGAACATTTGTTTTTTAAAAAGGAAAGAAAAAATAATCCCCATCCCTCTCTTCAGTTTTCTTAAGCTTTACAGTCACTTATGTAATCTTGGATGGGAGAATGTTCATTTTGAGATTTCATTCAAAAACAGAACAGCCTAAATAAATAAAGTAGATAAATTCCAATAGTCACTTTTTAACAACAAGGTTTGTAGACTTACGTATTTGTAGCTTCTGTGAGAACACAGTCCCCAGACTTCCCAGGCCCCTGTATGGATTCCATGGCTGTAGAATAGAGAACTTTCTGTCCCCCAGGACGTTTAGCATCAGATGCATTCTGGGAACTCTCTCCATCCTTCTCTCTTGTGATACTGTCCAATGTATGGATTCCCAGCAGCAGACTATAATCCATGATTTTAAAACTTTCCAACACCTATTAAGGAAGAAGGACTTTTTGCACCATAACATAAAAATGACTATATAAATGTATTTCGCATAATTAAAATACTTGAGAAAATCCCAAAATAAAGGTATGTAGAATATACTGGCCTCCTCTGACTTGGGTGGTTTGCAAAATGTAAAGGCAAATGTTAATGTTTGATACTAGCATAGCACCAGAGGCAGATCTGGAGCATGGGGGATGGACTGATGCACTTGCACCCCTCCTGCTTTGAGATTCCTGCTTCAACCAAAGTTTAAAACCAACTGCCTGGAAGTGGCAGCAGCATGTCCAGTCAGGCAGTACTGAGGGAGTCAATTGACTTTAGGGCTCATTAAAGTCTACCTGATACCTTCTAAGGTCTTAATTCCACAGGTGTTAGTGACAGTCTGTCCTTTTTAATGACCCTCGACAATTAAGCTAGCCTTCCTTCTGCGATTCTGCTCTGTTAGCTGCTCCTGGTAATGTAACTCCTATTTCACAGTCTTGCAGACTGTTTTAAACTCATTCCAGTAAAGTTATTGGAGGTCGATATATCGGGCACGTAACAGATCAGCACCAATAAAAGGAAAATTAACATTATCGGTAATCGGCTTTTTTTTGGCTGGTGTAGCTGATAATGTTACTGATAAATGCTGCATGCGTGTGCATAGCTGCAGCATGCATGTAGCCAGGAATGCAGCCTGGTAGTTTGTAGAGCAGCGTCTGGCTGGTAAGTCGTGGAGGGTGGGGAAGGAGATTGATGACCCCACAGTGAGGGAGGGAGTGATGCAGGGGCAGAGGCAGGGGCTAACAGTCAGGCTGGTGAATGTGACACCAGGGCCAGGAGCCATGGGCAGCTCATTTGGGGAGTGCGGAAGGGTAGGGAGAGGGGTGGCTCCCCACCGCTACACACACTGACATGGGGGTGTGTGGGGCATGTACTCCCTGGATTTGTGCATGGGGCAAGGGTGGGCTGCCCACTGCAGTCTCAGGGCCAGGGGCTGCACTGGTCTCTTCCCCACGGGGGAGGGGCAGGCAGCAGCGGGGCTGGGAGGTGTGGATATGGGGTGGGCTATAGCTATCCCAAAATTCCCCATAGCCACCCCTCCCAGCACTGCTGTTGCCCCCCC